TACCCCTAAAGATTTGGACAAGGACTGACGTATATTATTGCAATGTACTATCCCAGAACTCTCCTGGAACGACTGAGAAAACCTACGAAAACCCTCGTTAAGTACGACAGATAATCAGAGTCGATATTAAAACCTCGTTCTTCCTGAGTCGAGATCTGCAGCGTTACCGCTGCGTTAACCTGCTTGGACTGAAGTCTGTACCACATCTGTGAAAACTACAACAGGTGGGATTCAAACCGGGTTTCTTCCGAATACAAACCACATCATCGTCCTCGTTGTTGGGGCGACTGTCTTTTTGAAACCGCCATGACTCGGTTTCCACATTTCTCGTTATTAGTCCTGATACGAAGTGGTCATCCTAGCTCTGTGACGCAGGTCACCAAGAAATTTGCGTCATTAGCCACTTTTATGAAATCCACAAAGCGCTCTTCACTAACGACGCACCGCAAAGCGGTGTCACTTCTGGACGGCTTCACCTCATTGCACCTGGAAGTTGGTCCCCTCAGGTAGAATTGTGTTAATTCGTCTTCTCAGAGCATCCATCAGCTGCTCTGGTCAGTGAATATAAACACAAATAAGGCCTAGTTCACAGTGAGCCGACGAGAGGAGTTTAGAAGTTCTCACCATCACTGCTGACCGCCAGTCACTGATCTCCAGACTGCCTGTCGTTCTCTTGTGTTAACCGCTTTGCTTACGTTTATTCCATACACATCGTGACCAAGATGTTATAAGAGAATGGCGAAAGTTCAGTTCTTTGTAGCCTTCACCAACAATTCCTGCAGTGAGATGAGAAGATATGTAGAAACAGAGACGCAAGTAATCTATTGAAAAGGACGTTTCGGTCATCGTATCTGAGATTTTATCTAAGATTTTGTCGAAACGGTGATGAATTTTTGTAACAGGAAAGAAAACTGCTCTAGGAAGAGAGTACACATGTCACAGAGCTAGTAAGTTAATTATATGAATAGTTTGTTAGTTAGTTAGTTTGTCACGTAGTTTGCTGATTAATAAGTCAGTAACATCGTTGGTATTTTTCTTAGTTAATCAGTTGGTTACTTAGTTTACGTAGTCGACTTTGTGTTTTTGTCTAAGACGCCTTAGGTTAAGAATTAAGATTTGCCGACCGAGGTCCGCGGGCCGGTAGCTGAGAAGCTTGACATTAGAGGCCAATGAAATCACGTTTTATTTCTACACCTCGAAATGTAATAATACTTGAGTTAATGCAAGCATGTTGCGTTGTGTAATAACTGCAAATTACTGTCTATGTTTAGACACCGAAGGACTTGGGGTGGGGAGAAGTGGATTTGTTGTTTGTGGTCTTCTGTCTTTTTCGCATACGGTCCACTGAAACCCTGGAGATGGAAACGACACGGCCTTTCGAAATGTTTGTTACGTAACTAACCTTCAAGATTACACGGCAACATAACAAAGAATCTCACGATCGACTCCTTCACCGCTATAAGAACCCCGGATCTGAGAAAAATGTTTTTGTGGGAACGGATAATTATTATAATCGCTTTTGACAAATTTGGGCAAATGTTTTGGGGCCCCATAAACCGTTCTGTAGCTGCGTCCACACATAAACTGTTGCACGTGATCTACAAGAGATCTGTATGGTTCAAACCTCCCCCGTGGCGCTCAAGTCAAGGTCAGCCTAGTTGCTAGGCCGCTGATGACGCCAAGGTTAGCAGTTTCTGCGGGGATTTCTTAAAGAAAGA